TTTATTTTTTTTTTTTTTTTTTTTTTTTGGTAAGTGAAAATGTATGATGCAGCTTTTTCTATAACCTGTCTGGCCAATCTTGTTCCCATTTTTTACTGGTTGAGCCCACATTTTCAACCATACATTTCAATAGATCGACGAGAATAATTCATTTATCCGTCACCCTTTTTCATTTACTTATAAATTAAATCATTTATAATTAATCCCAGGTGGAGGTGTAACAACTGTAAACTGAAAAATCCCTAAATCCATTCAATTGCAACATCTTCTTTCTCATAAAGTCAATTTTTCAATCCTTCAGAATACCCGTTGGAATTAAGCTTTAACCCTTCCTAACCTTTGGCAGAACTATTTAATGGACACAAGTCTCTGTTATTGTTCAACTTTCTTTAGAAGTATCTTATCAAATATTTTTTTTTTTTATCTGGTCCCATCAAATATTAATTTTAATAACATTCATAATTATTGTTCATTTATTATTTGGATATTTCATGGAATTCAGTAATAAATTTAGAGATAATTGCAATAGAGGCACCAAATCTTTAAGGGCTTGTTTGGTAGTGATTTTGAGAATTGATTTTTCGATTGTTGGAAAGAAAAGTGGGTCCTATCTGTAAGAGAAATGGTCAAAAATGACGTCTTAAATAGTAAAATAACGGTCAAAATTTTGATTTTTTGGGGTGAAAAATTAATATCAAACACTCCTTAAAACATTAGCAGACTTTTCTCAAATTTTTAATTTGTTGTAACCGTCATTCAAAACCTTTCGAGACATTGTGGTGGAGGATTTTTTGGACGGTTTTCATTCAAATGTCTGTTAGTTTACTATGAAATTTGACTTTGATCATATTTTTAATATTTTTAAAAGAGTAAAATAGTAATTTTTCATTTACTACACTTGAACAAGTTAAAAATTAAATTAGAAAAAAGCAAAAAATAAAAAAAAATAAAAACTGCAGATCTTCAACTTCCTTCGGTCCATCGCCACTGGCCATCATCAACTACTGTTGCTATCATCCGCCTTATTTTTAGAAGCAAGTACTTTCTCTCCGGAGCATCTGCATGCCTGCACTGTGTGATGGGGGGATTTTTCTATTTGGCCTCTTACTATCCCTTTTTATAGAAAAGTTTATATTGCCCTTAATGAAATGATTTTTTCTATATTGCAATATATATCTTTATCTTTAAAGTATTTTATCTTATATTTATTCTATTTTGAATTTTACCATATAAATTCATTCTTTGATCAAGTAAATTGGAATAATCTGTAACGCACTGTCAATATTTTTCATTAAGTATATCGTATTTTTCAGAAGATGCATTCATATTTTTTAATTGAGAAATAATATTTTGTATTTCTTCTAACATTTTTTCTAACAAATTATTTAATCATTCGATTGTATATTCTGACATTAATACAAATAATCATTAAATCATGCAGTTAATCCCTTTGATTCTTTAAGATTTAAAAAGATTCATTCTAATTTTAGCAAAAATTTAATAGTTTTACCTTAATTTTGATCTGACTCTTTATTCTTAGAATCGAGTGACTTTTGAGCTCTGAATATGTAAACTGCTTCATTCAATGGCCTCCTGCCTTTATGAAATTTTTATTATTTCAGCTTCTTACTCTCACTGTATTAATTGTAAAGAATAAAATTCTAAATTTCTGTTAAAGAAAAACTCTCTTTTTGCTAAAATAAGAAGAAAACTTTAAATTTGATCCTTCAAGAATAGTTGAGACTAAAGATTTAGAAACTCATATTGATATCAAAATATTGGAATTTTATTTCTATCAGAACTTTTACAAGATTTCTATTTGGTATACAAGGATTTCAAGAAAAATTGGTTTTTCAGACTAAGG